AAAACTGGCACTTCTGGTGCAGCAGGAAGGTTCTCTGCGTTCTATTATAAGTCATTTATTGTTGCATCTATTATTTCTGAGTGTTACCAAAATGAAAGTAATGCACTGATCTAATTTCCTAGCTTGCTTGATTGCACACAAGCCCAACAGCAACCAGGTGACAGATAGTAGCTTTGCACTTACAAAGCTTCCCTTGTGGTCAGTCAAGAATGCTCTAGGACAGAGGGATTTCAGAAGAAAGTTAGTGTTCCTGTAGTATTCATTTCTACTCCTATTAAAAGGGCTATAGGGCTGGAGGGATGGCTCAACAGTTAAGAGAAACGGCTGCTCTTCCAAAGGACTATAGGTTCAAGTCCCAGTAACCACATAGTGGTCCACAACTGTCTGTGATTCCAGTTCCAGGGGATCGGACACCCTCACACAGAGATACCCTCATACAGATAAAACACCAACATAGATAAAATAATAATTTTTTTAAAGCCAGAAAAAAAAAAAGGAGGATGCAGCTACTGTTTTTCTGTAGGCATTTTGCTATCCACATACATGGGTAACAAAGTGGCCCCTTGCCATGAATAAATAGTCCTGCCTAAATCACACTGGCCTCTCTTTCAGCTTTCTGTTCCCTTCTGTAAGCCACCACAGTAATCTAACACTGAGGATACTGAGGCAGGAAGAAGTGAAGAAGTGTGCAAAGTTTAATGGCTAGTCTAAAGCAGGGACAATACTTGTTGTGACTGCACAGCCCAAACTCTTATTATTATATTGTTGTTGTTGTTGTTGTTGTTGTTACTTACAATTTATTTACTTTGTATTCTGGTTGTAGCCTCCTCCCTCATCTCTTCCCAGTCGCACTTTCTCTCCCTCTTCCTTCTCTATCCCGCTCCCCTAGTCCACTGATAAGGTAAGTCTTCTTCCCCTACTGATAGACTCTAGTCTATCAGGTCCCATCAGGACTGCCTGGATCCTCTTCCTCTGAGGGCTGGCTAGGTTGCCCCACCAGAGAGAAGGGATCAAGGAGCACACAACAGAGTTCATGTCAGAGACTGTCTCTTCTCCCCTTATTACGGAACCCACATGGAGATGGAGCTGTCTGTAGGCTACATCTGAGCAGAGGATCTAGGTCCTCTCTATATATGGTCTTTGGTTGATGCATCAGTCTCATCAGGGCCCCCTGGGTCCAGCTTGTTTGTTTGTTTGTTTGTTTTGTTTTGTTTTGTTGGTCTCCTTGTGGGGCTTCTATCCTTACCAAGTCCTTCTATATCCCCCTTCTTCCATAAGACTCCCTGCACTCTGTCCAAAGTTTGGCTGTGAGTCTCTGCATCTGCTTCAATCCCCTGCTTGTTGGAGTCTTCTAGAGGACATCTGTGGTAGCAGAAAAGATCATCCTGAGTGAGATAACCCAGAAGCAAAAAGACACACATGGTGTGTCCACTCACCCATAAGTCGATATTAGACATTTAATGTAGGATAAACATATTAAAATCTATAGTCCTAAAGAAGCTAAGTGACAAGGAAGACCCTAGAGAAGATGCTTAATCCTCATTCAGAAGGACAAACAGGATAGACACAGGAAGCGGTAGAAGAGAGGGAACAGCCCAAAGTCTAGTCTTAAATTCTGCTCATTGAGGAGCCTTTGCCTGAGTGAATGTTAATGAAACATAGTTCAACTTTTTCTATATAGGGTCTTTAACGGTATTATTCTGGTTGGAAATAGGAGACAGAGTTCTTGGTTCTTGTTTGAAGACATACTCCCTTTCATTTTCTTTTCTTAGATGGGGTTCCATATGTAGAACCTCGACAGCCTTCAACCTGCTGTGTGGTCTAGGATGACCCTGAACTTCTAATCCTCCTGACTCAGATTACAGGTGTTTGTCATCTTGCCAGCTTGTTTGATCCTGGGGAGCAAACCCTCTGCCAAATGCACTACATTTTCACCCTTGGACATATATTTCTATAGCCAAACATTTTTTCACTTACAGCCTGGAGTTATTTGAGGTGGTTTATTTGGAAGTTTGAGAGGGTAAGAGTTAAAAATCTACCACACCAATAACATGGATCGTATTTCTACACAATTAGCATCATTTTCTCTTTGGTTCTCTGAAGGAAGGATGTATGCTAAATTACTTTACACCTTCAGGCAGTACAAGAATTATGGACAAGCATACATACATATTATTTTCTGATTAATAAAGTTTTGCTAAAATACAATTAAAAATACATAAGCCACATCAATGCCTAAATAATTATTCCATCAGATACGGAGGAAAAGGTTTCCACTCCTTGGTCACAAAATACACAGCAAAACACAAGTTTTATCATGTTTTATTTCATTTCTTGTGGACATTCAGAATTTTAGGCCTTGCTGTTTCATTATTCTTTGCCAGAGAGAGAAGTATCCTAGGGATGAAATCCAGGGAGTCATACATTTTAGGCAATCTCGCTACCCACTAAGCCACACCCCTAGTCCGTGGTCTGCTTGGTTGGGGGTTTTGTTTTATTTTTTAATAAAACATAAATATTTGAGTACTGTTACTATACAAAATCAGATAGCTGATAAACACTGTTTAAGTAGGAAAAATTCCTTCCTCAGGCAATTAAGTTCCTGTCTTACTCTGTAGTGCAGTGTTTGTTTTCATCACCACAGACGAACTTTCAGTGAGAAGAGTTTACTTCAACAGGACACCCAACAAATATCTTCTACACCTAGTGCACTCTGGAATCACACAAAACTGACCCAATTAATTGGGTTACTATAGACAAGCAAATAAACTTATCTTGTGTGTGTGTGTGTAAGAGAGAGAGAGAGAGAGATTCACCCACTTAGAGAGAGAGAGAGAGAGAGAGAGAGAGAGAGATTCACCCACTTTGGCCTACAGCATCTCACTGTTAACCCTAGTCTTCCAAACACGATTCCACTCCATTTCCGTGTATTTGCTAAACGAAGTATAATTCTTTGTGTAGACTGAAGAGCAGAGTACAAAACAGCGTAAGAATTTGATATGTGGCAACTGCTGAGTTAAAAAGTATACAATACAGTGAGGGGTCTGTTTTTACCGAAGGTGCTGCTGACTTGAGAGGTATTTTGTTATTCCTTTCTTTTTCTATGGTGACAACCTCCTGAAAAACGCGAAGCTACTCATCTGTAGTGAAAAACCATAACACATTTACAAATCAAAAAGGTTAAATACATGAAACTTAATGGTGCATTAACTTCCCCAAAGTTTAAAAAAAAAAATGAAGAAAACGCGGTGACTACGCAGAAGGGGAGGAATTACCAAATTGTGCTTGTTGTGAACTGAACGTATGGTAGTTCAGTGACAGAAAAGAAATCCACTCCTTTATCAAATAGTGGCTGACCACCCCCTGCCTGCGGACAAAACCAAAACTACTTATCACCATTAACTACGCTTCCTGGGCCCAGCAGGTTTCCCTAACGCAAACGGCACTGTCTATCTAGGTTGAGGCTCCGCCAACATAGTTCCTGAGCAGCGCTTGGAAGAAAAGATGTAACACACGGCAGCCTCCGCCCCGCCTCGGGCCACTGGAGCGTCAAGGAAAAGCCAGAGCAAACGCAAACTGAAAATGCAACGCCGGAACTTACGGGGCCCCAGTAGGCAACAGAGGCGGGTCGAGCAGGCACCGGTTCCGCCCGCGAGAAAGATGGCGCTTGAAGTGTCAGCCAGCCCAGTTGCCCGTTCCTTCTCTGTGGGCGTGCTCTCCAGACAGAACAGGAAGGGCGAGCCGGGGAGGCGCGTGCTTGCTGCCTCAGCTCGGAGCTTGGCTCCGTGAGGGTGACAGAAGACAAAAGAAGAGAACAAGATCGCCCAGATCCGCGGAGGGAGCCCTGCGGGAAGGGGGCGGGCCGTGGGCTGGGGGCGGGGCCATGCGGGCGGTGGGCGTGGTCGGGGCGGGGCCGGGCGCGGACTGCGGTTGCGGTCCCTGCGCCGGCGGTGGAGGCGCCGCGGCGAGTGGGTGAGTGAGACGCGCGGGCGGAGCGGGGCTGCTGCTTTGGCGTGTGCGCGTTGGCCGGCGCCGGGCTCACCTCCTCCTTGTCCCCTGAGCGAGAGAGCCCTTGGCTCTGCAGGTGTTGCGGGGGCCGCGGCAGCGCGGAGGGGATGAGGATGGGCCTCGTCTCCGCCGTCCGCCCGCGATCCCCGAACCCAGCTTCTCCCGGGCCCTTGCGGGAACCCGCCGGGAGAACCGCGGGGCGCGGCCTCCGCCGACACAAGCCTGGGCCCCGGGGGCCTGGCCCCGCGACAACCTGGGCGCAGGCGGGGGTCCCCGCGCGGCCGGAGAAAGCGCGGGTGGGATGGGGTAGGGACGGACAGCACCCTGGCAGGGTTGCGCAGAAGTTTGCCGGGAGCGCCGACGTCTAGTTGTGTGGGCTGCAGTTCCAGGCGCGGTGTTCCCCAGTTCTGCGGGACGTGACCGGGTTGCTTCACAGTTCCGCGGTTGCACAGACTTATTAAAGGAAGTGACCATTGTGACTTGGGCATCACTTGACGGTAATCGGTTGCAGAGAAGCGCACTGATTGTTAGTCTGTCCACACATGGTCTGTCTGACCAGGGCTTCTGTTACGAAAAGGAGGGAAATCGTGCATTGGCCTTGGCCTGTGACGGGTTGCCCTTTCTGGTGTGCGGATCAACCAGTAGTGTAAACCGAGTACACAGCCTGCGTCAGTACTACTTTTGCCCTTTTTACTTTGCACGAAAGGCCCCCCCAAAGACTGGGAAATAATTTGAGATAGGATCACTAGAAAAACAGCACAGGGTGGAGAGAGGATGAGAGCGAGAAAAGTAGTAATTTGGAATCAGAATACTTGAAATACAGTGATCTTCCCCTATCTGAAAGACGACATTCCAGAAGGCCCCAAGGAAGCCTGAAACCTCCGGTAGCACCAACACATACCCTCTTGCGAATGAAGGTGTTTTTCCCTCTTTACATGTCGTAGTCTATGGTAAAGTTTAGAAAACAGGCACAATGAGATGAAAAGTAACTAATGATGGAGTAGAACCAGTGCAACAACGCTGTCACAAAAGTTCTGTGAACGTGATTTGTGTCTCGGTGTAGCTCACTGTCCTTTCACCCGGGTGAAGTGAAACAAGGATCACCTGGGCCCCTGGGAAGCCCGAGAAGTCACCGTTGGCAGACACTATGGAGAGCACTAATGTGTTGGACCAGAGGGTGAATCACAACCTGGGAGCAGAACCAGGCGATTTCATCACCCTGCACGCCGTGGGCGTGTCGGTTAAAACCTACAAAGTATCCTTCTGGAAATTCTCATTTACCGATTTTGGATGAAAGTTTACTACAGGTAGTTTACAGACTTAAACTAATCTGTGGGCCAGGAGGAACTAATGTCTGTCCGAGACACGCTGACTGAACATTGGCACGCTGACTGAACATTGGCGCTGTGGAAAAACTGAATCAGTTGGGAAGTGCCTCCAGGTGACTAGCTCTTACTCCAGACAACACGAAAATAAGAGCGGCCTGTACCTTAAAGGTTTAATGTTCCGGGAGAGAAATGTAAATACAACTTGACAAGTTGGCAAAATAGTCTGTTTGGCTCTGTTGGCCATCCAGTGTTTGCTTTCAGGGAATGACTGAGTGAATAAGACTCCTGTCTTTTGAGCCTGCCCTAGACTCCCATGTTAACTGAATAGTGCCAAAGTGAGAAACTTAAATCTATGAGAGATGGCACAGGCTTGGTATCATGAATGAGTGTGTGAGCCTTGACTGACGTTGGAAATCTGTAAAGAGTGACAGTGGCTGGTTTTCCAATAAGTCCATTATCTTTACAATGGTCTTGGTTAGCTCCAGTGTGGCTGAGAGGGCTGGTAGATGGCCATGTCCCCCCCTCCCCCCACAAGAAGTGGGAGTCTTATGATTGTATACTTCTGCATCAAGTAGCAGTAGGCAAATGAACTTCCTCAAAGCAGCCTGGGAAATGGTAGCTGATTTTTTTTGTGGCGGGGGTGGGGGGGGCACAGGTTTAAAGAGAAAAAAAAAAGGCTCAAATGTGCCAGTCTGCTAGTAGTGTTAACATGCTTATTAACGTGAATACGCTTTATTACTCATCAACCCTGAGCTTTGGAGAGTGGTGAGCCTTGCGCCAAAGACTGTGTGGCTTTAACCTTCTGGGGTAGCCAGAAAATACGTAGATTCAAGTGTGTGAGTTTATCCAGGCTCAGTGGCATATGCCTATAATCCCATCACTCGGGGAGGCAGACACAGGCAGATCTCTAGGAGTTCATGGCCAGCCTGGTCTGCAAAGTCAGTCCAGGACAACCAAGGCTACACAAAGAAACCCTGTCTTGGGGGGGGGGGGGGGGGAGTCTGTATGTGGATTTTCACCAACTCTAACCTCAAGTGTTAGTAAAATCACACAGCTTCCCTAAATGTACTTCTCTATAATACTTTACTTTTTAGGTTATAGTAATTTCTCCTTTTCATTACTTCATCTGCAGTCAACTACAGTCCAGAAATACTGTGCTCTTAAAATAAGCAATTCTAAGTTTCAGAGCAGCCTGGTGCTTTTTTGCGCCATGTGCTCTGCCCTGCCCAGAGCGTGGCTGATCCCTTTGTCCAGAATATCTGTCAGTGGTGCTCACGCTGGGTGTACCCCCTGCTCGCTACCAGCTTAGTAGATATCTGAGTTTTGAGGTCACTTGTATTTAACCCTTATCTTTCTTAATAATTGCCTCATAGCAAGTGGAGAATGCTGCTGATGATGTGGATTTGCTTAGGAGAAGCCATGGAGTACTTTTGTGTGAAAAGTACTCAGCATAACTGGGGGAAACTATGCTGCTATTACTAAGGTCCACGGGAAGACCAAATCTTGTGTGAAATTGTCAAGAAAGGAAAAAAGTTATGCTGGCCTTGCTGTTGTGTTAATTTTACAAAGCACTAAGCACAGTGCATGATAAATAATTCATCTTTTAAAAAAAATGAGTTTGAGGGTGAACGACATCATCAGGAAACCATGTTCTGATCAGCTGTTGCCAGCATGTTATACCTAAAGCCTTAGGCTTATTCATAGACTTCAGCCGAAGTTCTGAAGGGGCTGGAAAGGTGGCTCAGTGGCCAAGAGTGCTTGCTCATGCACAGGGCCCAGGTACTTCCATAGGCACCAGGCAAGCATGTGATACACAGAGATGCATGTGGGAAAAACATAAAATTTAATATACATAATAAATAAGAGTAGGTATACATCAATAATTAAATACATAAGCACACGTAAAGATAGATACATTGCAAAGTTCTTCGGGAGTGAGTGACCCAAAGCCACTCACAAGATAGCTGCGCTGGTGCAGGGTTACACATGAACTAGAGAAACATAGAACCTAACAGAGAAGTTGCAACCCAAGTTGCTGAAGACTTTGCTGGCATGTTTGACATACAGAAATGCTGAAGGCCTCTGGAAGGTTTTCACAAATGAGGAATTCGAATTTTTTCACTGATCTACAGAAAAAGAAGGAAGAAGAAACTGAAACAGCCTGCGGTATGGCGTGGAAATGCAATGCGGTGACATTTATGAAACTGCAAAGGCAGTAAAGGACAGAGCGATGGAACACAGACCTCAGAGGCAGCTCAGCCTAGAGTCATCCAGAAGGTTCGAACTGCTGCAGCAACAAATGGAGGAGTTGAAAAGAGACTCCAACTTCTGAATACCGTGTTTTTCCAAAAGAATTGGGCAGAAAACCTTTCAGCTGTGGAGGCTGCTGAGCCATTGCCTCCCCCTGCCTTCTAACCACCAGGGCTGTCCTATCTGCTGGCTCAGTGGTCCAGGATCATCCAGACAGCAGGTCATCCTGACACGTAGAAGGTCAGCAGTCAGCTAACGGCCTGTGCCCTTCACCTCCCTTCATCACGTCACAGCTTACCATGTAGTCTGTTATCACAGGAAGAAGAGTGAAATATCTAACAAGATATTTCAGAAACAGACCACATTCAGATAATTCATTATTATTCTGGTATGCTGTTAATGATTATATTTTGTTGGTATTAATCTCTTTGTGCCTCTTTTGTAAACTGCCACTTACAATAAATAAAATGTAAATATTATGGGTACTCTTTGCAATCAAGACGTTCAGTGGGGTCTTAGAATTCATACCTGGGAGTAAGAGGCAACTACTATTTTGGGACAGGCTTCATTTGAAGCGAAACAATGCAGCATGATTCTTAGTCCTTTCTCTCTCTTTTTTTTTATACTTATACTAGGAATGAGGCTAAATAAAGTTAACGGCATATAATAGTTTAATTTTCACAACCAGGTTTAAAAGTTCTCCCATAATTTAGGATTATGCTCTGGGGCTCAATACTGCTTTAAGGATTGGGTTTCTTTTAGTATAATGATGGAATATTTGAATTGTAGTATTATATTTATAATTATTCACCTTTTCAAACAAAAAGAAAGAATGGAGAAGAAATGAGTTTGCAATGTAATTTTATGGTTGTGTGTTCAGTTAATTTGTCACGCTGGCCTCCAATTTGCCGTTGTTAATGAGGACAACAATAGCACCATTACCGTTTCAATTCAAATTACATTTCTCTGTTCCCTCAATGAAGACTGACATTTCCCATTGTATCCAAAATAATCAGTATCTTAAACAAGCTGTATAACTTCTATATTCTGTAGTCTGTTCAGACTATTAAATTGACACATTTTATAAAGTAAATAGCTAAGTGAATTTCTGAAATTAAACGTGTACATTTAAGAGCCCCTGGTAAACTATTGTGTAGAGCTGAGTGTTGTGCCGAGTTCTGTACGCCTGATCATAATATGCTAAGAACACTCACTCAGCACTCTAAATATAGAAGTCACTCCTTCGCATGCGACTCTAAACTCTTGACAAGATGCAGGAGAGAGACAGATTAGAGCCCCACAGTATGGCTGGCTGTGCAAGGACCATGCTGAGGGTCAGTTATGTCCGTTCCACCATATGGATCTTAGGGATTGAGTTCAGGTCATCGCTCATGCTGCCAGGAGCCTGGGCTATGGAACAGTGTGGCCAGCCCAGTAGGTAAACCTTGTAAGTACAGTTATTTATGGATACCAGTTTGTTGCAGATCAAATGTTCACTCCCGCTCTTAAGCACAGCAGTCACTGGGTGAGGGCCCATCCTTCCCTAGTAGGGCCCATTTTGACCTAACTGAACCTTTTTGCAAGTAAGGTCCTATTCACTTGCTCAGGGCCCTCCCCTTCCTTTTTTGTTCTTTAGTTGAAAAGGTTTAAGCATCAAGTATCCAATCATTAGAACTGTGTGAGACTATGCATTTGGCGATAATATGAGCTTTATATATGTTATACATTGGTATATAACATTTTAAAGTCAGCTGGGTTTGGGGGGGTGTCTGTAAACGGCTACACTAATCGCTGTTTTTGTGTGTCCCTGTTCAGCTGTTGCAAGCATCTGGATGATGTGAGAGCTGGGGTGCAGGGATGTCGACTGTCTGCCCCCCACCATCTCCTGCTGTTGCCAAGACAGAGATTGCGTTAAGTGGGGAATCACCGTTGTTGGCAGCCACCTTTGCTTACTGGGATAATATTCTTGGTCCTAGAGTAAGGCACATTTGGGCTCCAAAGACAGAACAGGTACTTCTCAGTGATGGAGAGATAACTTTTCTTGCCAACCACACTCTAAATGGAGAAATTCTTCGAAATGCTGAGAGTGGGGCTATCGATGTAAAGTTTTTTGTCTTATCGGAAAAAGGAGTAATTATTGTTTCATTAATCTTCGACGGAAACTGGAACGGAGACCGGAGCACTTACGGACTGTCGATCATACTTCCACAGACAGAGCTTAGCTTCTACCTCCCGCTGCATAGAGCGTGTGTTGACAGGCTGACACACATTATTCGGAAAGGAAGGATATGGATGCATAAGGTAAGGGCTCTCGAGCTTGCTGCTGGGAACCTGGCCAGGGAAAGGTTTTTCCGGTCTGTTTACATTTACGCTCTGGAAATTGTATGGAACTGTCACCAGACAACTATTAGTTTGTGTTTTCTGGGCACCAAAAGATCCGGTCTCATGACCCTAGTCTTCAGAGTGATAATGGAAGATGGGATAGTGTTAGAGCTTAGAGGACTTAAACGTTTAGTCTGAACTTGTTCTGGAAGCGTTGACTCTAAATCCTTTCTGTTTTCTTTTTCTCGTGTGACTTTGTGTTTTACTTATAACTGTAAAAGTATAAACATTCAAATCTTTCTGTAACCTTCCAGCCACACTAAGCTGCTTTCCCAAGTTTCCAGTTTTGTAAAATGGAGAGGATGGACCAAATGAACTATTATTTCTTTCAGTCTGCTAAGTTAGCCACAGGAAGTACTGTTCTTTCCTGATATTTACATTGCTGGGCATTCTCAGCATATCTAAAGAACAAACCCAGTTTTCCTTCCTATTTTCTAGTTTAATATTATCCTGAAAGTCCATTAAAGCATGACTGATTTTGTAAGGCCTCTAACCTCTTATAAGGGGAAATAGCATTTTTTAAAAGAATAGTTTTCTGTTATACCTGTGTCAGGCTTCCTTATTTCTGACATACTTAATAAAGATCATTGATATTCAAAACGTTTAGCTGCAGGTAGTCTTACAGGCAAGTAATCCTAGTGTTCAAAACTGAGGCAGAGAGATTTGAGCTCAGCGCCAGCCTTTTATACCTGGTGAGACCTGGTCTCATAAATAAACAAACTAAAATAATCATTCCTCTGTTTCTCAGATGCAAGTCTGTCTTGTTTAGTTTGAATAGTATGTAGTTATTGTCTTTTGAAACTGCAGGTGTTATGTGGACTGTTTCCTGCTAGATGATCTCTTTACTGTAGAATAAAGGACACTTTGATTATATTTTGTTGTGTGAGAGCATGTCTCCATCCTTTTTCCCCACCTGCAATAGAAAGTATTTTCCTGTGAACCTACACACGATAGAACGTGTTGACATTGAAAAATGAACAAGCATCAAAATGGATTTGTTAAATTTTCTTTTTTAGGAAAGGCAAGAAAATGTCCAGAAAATTGTCCTGGAAGGCACAGAGAGACTGGAAGATCAGGTAGAGGCATACCACAGGCTTCCGTTTCTCCTTTGCTTATGTCTATAGAAAGCTGGCGGGTACTTTTGGTGAGGGCCAGAAGATGCATTATTTTGATACAGGGAGCCTGAAAATGAGTAATTCTCGTGAAGGTGCATACAATGAACTGAAGAAAAATTCTGCAGCCTAAATCTGAAGACTTGAATTAAAAAAAAAAAAAGGATATTGCATCTACAAATTAATATTTGGCCACCCCTTTTCAATCTGCCAGAATAAGTTTGGGATCATTTCCTCTTAGTGAGAAATCACATACTATTTATTTATTTATTTATTTATTTATTTATTTATTTATTTATTTATTTATTTATTTATTATAGCTAGAATTTGTAATAGTATATGTTCTGATTATGGTTTCCATCTCCTAGCTCCTCCCCGATCCTCCACTCACCCAAGTCTATGCCTGTTCTTTCTCTCTCATTAGGATATAAACAGGCATCTAAAATAATAACAGTATATGTAAAATTACATAAAAGAAAAACATTCCAGACTAGGACACAATAAATAAATAGAAGAAAAGAGAACCAAATAAAAAGCTTAAGAAACACATATAGACACAGACATGCATTTGCATACACAGAAATTCCATAAAAATACCAAACTGGAAACCATAATATATATGTAAGGGGGGAAAAAATCCCTGACACAGTATTATAAGTAAAGAATTTCTAAAAATTGCATTGACTGTGTTTGTGCTGTCCACCTATTGTTGGGCAGGAGCCTGGCCTTAAGAGTGGTTTGTATGCCCAGTGATACTTCTAGAGGTTGGTTTTTCATTTGTGAGCAGTTATCAGTTAGAGGTAGTGAGTGGGTGAGGGATGGAGGCTTGTGTCTGCTTCGGCACTGAGACCTCATCCGCCTCAAACCCGTGCAAGCCTTATGCACGTACAGTTCTTAAAAGGTATTCCTTCTGCGACTATTTTAACAGGAGCTGCAGCGTGACGGGAAGGGGTGCACCCCAGAGCTATCGATCAGTCCAGGGGTACAGAGTCAGCTGTACACAGTTTTCTTTAAAGGTTTATGTTTTAAAACTCAAGACTATATTCCATGGTAGATTTGCTTGTTTGAATGTTGAAATTTGCCAGTAATACCCTTCGTCTTCTTACTACTCAGCTTCTAGTAACACCGGCTCTAGGGAAAGAAGCCGTGTTTATCCTGTGGCTCTCGATGACCTGAGGGACACCAGAGGTTTCAAATGTGGCAAAATGCCTTCCCACATAGAAATTAAAGGGGGACCATTTCAGTGTGGGGCAGGGCAAGCTCCTCTGGGGAGCTGGCAATAGAGGGGACTCGACATCAGGAAAGGGTCGCTTCTTCCCGTTACCCGGATGTGCCACCCACCATCATTATTTCTCCTTGTAAAACATCAGTCTTTAAACATGGCCATGTGGCCTCTACTCTCATTTTCATTAGCATGACTAACAGTGATACTTTAAAAAAATTGAAGTATTTCTGAGGGTTTGAAAGTATAGTGTTAGAATATTTGCCCAGCCTCGTGTTTGATCCCTAGCAATGCACACATGCATGCCCACATGCACCCCAAAATGAACGAACAAAAGAACATAAAACGACCTTTATAAAAATGATTGTGTTACACTAGTAAGTATGGTAAGTAGCTTTTGGGGCCATCTGAAATAATCTAGGAGAAGACCTCACACTAAAGGGTCTAACCTTTACTTCTTGCTGATAGGTAAGCAGGGAATCCAAGAGTAAAGTCCCTTTTACCAACCTCTGAACTGCATTTCTGGAGTAATAAGGAGTCATTTCAACATAAAGAAATTTAGAAACCAAGTAAAACTTTTGCCATTTGGTGAGATTTAAAAAAAGAAAAGAAAGAAGGAAGGAAGGAAGGAAAGAAGGAAGGAAGGAAGGAAGGAAGGAAGGAAGGAAGGAAGGAAGGAAGGAAGGAAGGAAGGAAGGAAAGAGAGAAAATTTGCTGAGATTAATATGTAAGTGATTAATAATTTTAACATGTTCAGCTGAGGTTGATAGACACATGTCACTTTCAGCTTCTCGTTTAGGTGATCACAAATGGTAGTAAGTGGGGTCACTCATGTCACATGCTGCAGTTATGCCGAAAACTGGATGCCAGAAAATACAAATTCAAAGGGATGTTTTAAAGATGGGTAGTACAATCTGGGAAGTTCTCTGGAGGAGACTCGTCTGTCTTGCTGATTCTTACTCTATGTGGTAACCTCAGTGTGCAGTTGGATAGATTATATCCCATTTTGAATGTGAAGGTTCGGTGTTGAGAGGAACCTCCCGATGAATTCCTTCCTAAGGATTCAACATCTTTTCATATTTAACTTTTCTCGCTTTTTAAAAGAAAATCTAATAATGGCCTTTAACAAGGGCTTTTATATCTTAAATTTCAAAGGAGATCCTTTCTGATTGTGGCATTGTAGTTTAATTGTCGCATAAACTATACTCACCAAAGAAAATTATTCCTAAAAGAGCGAAAATAAGTGCAAAGAGCATGAAAATCCTTGACAGGTGTTTCTGAGTGGTAGGCTTTTGGGAACTGTGTTGAGCAGTTCCCACCAAGGCTGTTTACCCTCTGCCTCCATGTGAAGTGTTTCTTGCTGCCTGGCTCGCTGCGCCCTCCGTCACCCTATTATGTCTCATGCAGGGTCAGAGTATCATTCCCATGCTTACCGGAGAGGTCATTCCTGTCATGGAGCTGCTCGCCTCGATGAAGTCCCACAGCGTGCCTGAAGAGATAGATGTAAGTGCGGTGTGAGAGTGTGCGTGTGTGCTCGCGCGCGCGCACGCGCGTGTGTGTGTGTGTGTGTGTGTGTGTGTGTGTGTGTGCGTGTTCTTATTTTAATAGTGTAATTTTGTTGTAATACCATTTGTAACAAGTGTCAACTTTAATCCACTAAGCACAGATAAAATCCTGAATTTTCTGACCTAACAGGTTTTTTTGATCAGTCAATCTCTGATAAAATCAAACTTAGTTTGTTTCACACTTCCACGTCTCTGTTTCCTAGAAGAGGGGAAGTTCCAGCCTTTATAGAAGCAGTTAGTATCCGGTAGAGTGCCTTTGAACAGAGCAGTGTGCCATTAAGCTCTCGGTGCTGCCTCATTCTGTAATTTTTGTTGTTTTGTTTTGTTTTGTTTCATGTGTCTGGGTGTTTTGCCTACATATGTGTCTGGGTACCATTTGTATACAGTGTCCTGGAGGCCAGAAGAGGACGTCGGATCCCCCAGAGACTAGTTACAGGCTGTTGTGAGCTGCTGAGTGTATCTGAGTGAGTGTGTGTGTGTGTGTGAGTGTGAGTATGTGTGTGTTGCTGGGGGTTGAACCCAAGTCCTGAAAGAGCAGCCATCCCTCCAGCTTCTCCGCCAGTTCTTTGATCGTTTGTTGAGGATGTTTCAGTCACACCTTTTCCAAGTGTGAGTATCTTTGACAGGGTTCCTAGTGCTGGCTTGTCATCAGGCTTGGTATCTGGGTTCTGGTAACTAGGAAGGGGAGGTTGTAAACATTGTTGTTTAACCTGCCTGGCCAGCTCTCCCCTTTGTTCTAATGAGAAGTGCACAGCATCCTTTTACAGGGCTCCTTGGTGCTCGTAATGAGAGTGCTGTGTCGAGCTGACTCTCAACTTCAGCATACATATTATTAAGAGTTCTCTCTGCACTGGGAACAGACTGATGGTGTGTGTGTGTGTACTTTTAGATAGCTGATACAGTGCTCAATGACGATGACATCGGTGACAGCTGTCATGAAGGCTTTCTTCTCAAGTAAGAACTTTACTTCTTTTCTCCAATGCTTAGACAGGGTTTCTCTGTGTAGCCTTGGCTGTCCTGGACTTGCTTTGTAGACCAGGCTGGTCCTTAACTCACAGAGATCTGCCTGCCTCTGCCTCTACAAGTGCTGGAATTACAGGCATGAGCCTATGTACCTGGCTGCAGAATAAAATCCTAATGCTCCCCCGTGACAAGGTTTAATGGAAAATAATAATAGAATAACTGTTTATTCCAGTTCTTCAGGGACAGCACTGTACATGTGAATTGTTGCTTACATGCATTATTTTTACTCATGTAGTAGTGACACCTGATGTTATTTCTTCCACAGTTTAAAAAAGCTGAGTTTCCACAGTACCCAGAGACATTCTGGTCTTTTATTTGGGTCAGGTTTCCTCTTGTAATTCTCATCAAATATAATCCTTAGAAACCTATCAAATCGAGTTGCACTGTAAATTTTTGTGAATTCTTTAGGTCTAGAAATGGAAATCATTTATATTTTAGACTGGTATTTTTCATGTAACTACAGAATTTAATACTTAAGATTGTGGGCTCCAAAAACCAGAGTGTCTGGGTCAACTTGGTGAGGCTATGCAAAGCTGTACCTCCATTTTCTTATCACACCAAATTAGATGAATGATATACAGCACTTCAGACAATGCCAGACTCATCAGCTCACCCAGTAGCCAGTAGTCACCGATGCCTTCCAATTATATGTGCTCTAAGAAAGCCAGAATGGTTACTACGCGTCCCACGTGTCTGCCTCATCCCTGTGGTCGTGTCCTTTACAGTTGCAGACTGTTCCCAGCTTTTGATTTTAAGAATGAGAAGTGTCTGTATTCTGTACGTGTAGGCTCCCAGTGAAATACCGGCAGTGAATGGTGCTTAGCATAGAGGTCGCAGTGGCTGGACTCAGAAGCATGTCAGAGTTTGCTAGTGTCAGCCACACATGTATTGTTTTCAGCGTTCTCTGTGTTTAAAGAAATTAATGTAACATGATGGCACTTTATTAACTAACTCAGGTATCTTTCTTTAAAGTGTATTTACTCTTGTCTGTGCTCGTGCCTGGTACCTGCAAACACCAGGAGAAGGCTTTGGATTTCTTGGAACTAGATGGTTGTGAGTCACCATGTGGGTTCTGGGTCTTCTCTACCAGGGGAGCAAGAGTGTCTTAACCCGTGAGCCGTCACATTAGCCCTCGGTTGTCCTAGGATAACATGATGTCTGTGAAAGGCCTTAGAAAATACAACGTTTTCATCATGCTGATAGCTTTGGTGTTTGTCAAGTAAAGCTCTGCTGTGTTTTCAAAGCTCACTTGTTTTTCTCTTGTTTGTGAGTTTCTAACCCTGCCAACGTTTTCACCAACCTGCAGTGCCATCAGTTCACATCTGCAGACCTGTGGCTGTTCGGTCGTAGTAGGCAGCAGTGCAGAGAAAGTAAATAAGGTAATTCATTTAATAGTTCAAATATGACCTGACTTTTAATACTACTAGCATACCATGCATTATCACTTAAGTATTGGGCTGCGGTTGAAATAGCCTAATGGTATAAGAAAGCAATGTAATTTTACCAGATTACCCTGACACCCTCTAGCAAAAATGACTCTAATAAAATGAGTAAGAATTTAATCAACACCTTAATTTTGATCATTCCCAGTTATATCATAAATTGTTTTCAGAAAAAAATTAAATGGGATTTTATTTTTTTTGAGGGATATTCTCACTGTGTAGTTGAGGCTGGCCTGTAACTCACTGAGTATACCAGGCTAGTCTCAAACTCACCACAGTCCACTTGCCTGTTCCTCCCAAGTACTGAGATGAAGAGCACCACCTTGCCTAGCCTTTAAATGAAATTCTTTGAAATGTTTTCCTTCTCTTTCCCAGCTGTTTTACTATTCCTGTATGACTTTACCTAGTAAACACTTTGTTAGTGGATAGGTGAGGTGACAGGAAACTCCATTGGTGAGTATCACCGTGAAGTGTAGAGTGAATATGCACAACTTTATATTAAGACAGATTTGAGAGTAACAAGGAGCAGATACTTTATATAAAAGAGAAAATTGAATAATTCTCAGCTTCTGAGGGGATTTGTGCAAACTGTGAGTTTCTTACCATGTGCATAATGGGGAGCACATTATAGAAAGATTGATGAATTGTAGAAAGATTGGTGAATTATAGAAAGATTGGTGAATTGTAGAAAGATTGGTGCTGAACGGAAAGATGTGAGCTTGGATGTAGACATCTCTGACTACAAAACCACCTTTTCACGATATCATCAGAGTAGCTCCCCCAAAGAGATAATGCAGGGGTTGGGGAGAGCCAAGATACCTGATCAAAGATTTCATGATGGTTAGTGCCAAAAGTCAGCAGCTATCTTTATAGACACTAAAGACACATAAATACACATTCATATCAATTGTAACAAACCTAATTTCTTTTCAAAAAGTTTTACATGGAAATATGTTAGGGATGGCTATTTGCTTTACAAAACTACTCAGCATTTTTTTTGAGAGCCATTCCATGTACTTACGGAAGCTTTAATTTGTGAAGTTTATATTTCTTATTCAGCCATTTATGAGAGAATAATTTTAGCTTGGCAATTGAACTGTCATTTGTGACCCACTTGAGATGCTGAAAGCCTCGGTTTCCATGGGGAAACCATCTTGATGGTTTATGAAGGGGGAAAGGCTCTATAGATTGGGCTTCATTTATTAATTTTTTTTCATCTTTTATCTTCTTTTAGGTTGAATAGCTTGTCTTTTATCTTTTCATTTTGAGGACATGTTGTTACCACTTAGTTGAAAACCACTGATTTCAAGCTGTCTCTGGCTTACAGTTCCCGCAGTTACACGGCTTCATTCTTTTCCCTGCACAGCTCTAGGCCAGCTCTTCCACCATATTCCCTTATTCCAGATGAAATGTACTGGAGTTTTTCTGTGGAAACCTTTGGACAGTCCTTGTTCATTGTAACGGAGTTTGTTGCACCAGATAACAGTTCCCTCCCTTCTCCTGAGCTGTTTGCTCACTTGAAAAGCAGTTGTTAGTGGGCTTGATGGCATACGCCTATAATCCCAACACTCGGGAGGCAGAGGCAGGCGGATCTCTATGAGTTTGAGGCCAGCCTGGTCTACAAAGCGAGTCCAGGGCAGCCGAGGCTACACAGAGAAGCCAAGAGAGAGACACAGAGAGAGAGAGAGAAGCAGTTGTTGCTAGGCAGACATATGGTCAGTTACTACATTAGGTTATTTCTGAGATAAAGGTTCTGTGCTCAACTAAATTTGGGAAATGATGTTGTTTACTTAGAGAGCAGCATGTAGCAAGTTGTGAGATACCATGCAATTGATTTAACAACCTCTTCCTAAACTTAACTGGCCACAGCATCCCTTTGTCAGCAGTTTGTGTTTTTCCCATGTGCTGTTCAGGTAACCAAGGGACACTCTGGTGTAAGTGGTGGTTAATATTTGCTATTGATTTATCTTCTGGTAATGCTGCTGTTAGTCCTAAACAGCTGTTTTCCCAAATCACCACACAGAGACTGGGTTTATTTAGTTAACCTAGAACATAATTCTGGGCAATAGTTACTCCCTCCTAAACCTCCAAGCCCTCATAGTTTCCTAACATTTAGATTTCCCACGTTATACTTGCTTTTAGTGATATATTATGTCCAGTCAATCTCCACATAGTTCCAAGATCTCTCCCCCAGCTCTGTTCCTCCCTCAGCTCCTCCCACTCGTTTCCTGCCCTCTGGCTCCTCCCCTTGTTCCTGTCCTCTGGCTCCTCCCAGCTCAACATTATGTCTAGATGTTTTATTTTGGCCTGTTTACACAGAGTTGAGACAGGATGCTTAGAATGAGTATCACAATGCAATATCTGGATTGAAACCAGAGAGTGGGGGAGAAATCAGTATTGAATGAACAAGGGTAAGGTGTATACATTTCAAAAGAACTCTATACCAACAACACTCCTTACTTGCTGTTTCAGTGATGACAACAAAAATGTCTGTTTAAATTTCTTTCTAAGCAAACAATGATCTTTTTCACATTTCAATGTTGAATCTTTTCTTCTCTAGATAGTGAGAACACTATGCCTTTTTCTGACTCCAGCAGAGAGGAAGTGCTCCAGACTGTGTGAAGCAGAGTCATCCTTTAAGTACGAATCGGGACTCTTTGTACAAGGCCTGCTAAAGGTACACTTGCTGTCTATTTAGCATGTGTCATGTGACAAGTAAATGCGAATTTTAAAATAATTACGAGGATCTTTGTAAAGTGTATTGTTGGCATTTAATGTATCATGTTTTTAACTGTCTGGGGACTGCTTTCTTTAATAGTTCTGAGCATGAAATATGTCTTATGGATTTACAGTTAGGCACATCCGTGACACGGGATGGGGTAATTTTTATATTTCGCTGGCTTCCCTCTAACTGTGTGTCTAGCCTCAGTGTTTTCCTTATAAATACATGCTTGAATCAGACTGAACCTCTGACATGCTAATGTTTCTTTTGCTTACTGAGTACATTTGAACATGTACCACACTTACTCATCTTAAGAAATTAAAATGTTTTTAAAGCTTATGCATACTGTCTGTTTCTAGCACTTATATTTTTAATTTTTGTATTGAATTTAGTTAATTCTTTTAAGAAACAAAACAGATAATTATAAATTAGCAAAAAAAAAATTTAAGAGAATCACTTTATTTTCACCTACAACATTAAAATTCCCCATGATGGTATCGGCTCATTGTTTTTAAATTTTGTACTTTTTAATATTTCATTTATTTACTTTATATCGCAAGGATACCCCCTCCCTCCTTTCCTTCCAGTCCCCCCTTCTTCTCCTTCCCCTTTCCCCTATCTCTTCCCACACACACACACCAAGAAAAGGAGAGCCCCTCTCCCCTTATCAGCCCTCCCCAGCACATCAAGTCACATCAGGACTGAGCATATACTCATCTCCTGAAGCCAAGCAAGGCAGCCCTGCCAGGGAGAAGTGATCCAAAAGCAGGCAATAGAGTCCATGTTAAAAACAGAATTTGCCATTGCGGAGGACAGTATGGCAGTTTAAATAAAAATTGGAGGTAGTAGAGCATTCACCTGGAACATACAAGGTTCAGAGCTATAATCAATGAGCAAACAATCAGATATATGATCTGGCTCTGCCACCATTGGCCAAGCCCTCAAAGAACATGAAATCAGTATATGGATGAAACTCCTGCACCTCCATTTTTACTGCAGCACTGTTCACCATAGCTGGCATGTAGGATCATTCGAAATGCCCTTCCACAATTGAGCAGATGAGAAAATGGTGCATGTGCACAATGCACTATTTAGTCACAAAGGAGAAAGTTTGTTGTTTGCTACAACATGGATGACACTAGGGGACATGTGCAAAGCAATATAAGCCAGGCGCAGAGAGATAAATGTGTGTTTTCATTTATATATAAAGTTAAAACATCCGTCTCATACAAGTAGAGGACAAAATAGAGATTACCAGAACTTAGAAAGGGTGCTGGGCGAGGCTAGAGAGAGGCTTGGGGCTGTAGCTGCATACAGTGATAACTGACGGTGCTCTGTAGCACTGTGGAATAATTTTAACAGTCTTACATTTTTCTGTTTAGTGCAGGGCAGAGTTTGATATAGGTGTCTACATTTTAACTCTCCGCCAGGTTTTTTTAGGCAGGTTCTCTCAGTAAACTGGGCTAACTTTGACTAGAAGGGCTGGCCGGTGAGACCCTGAGAGCCTCCTGCTCCTACCGTCCTTCGACACAGGCTGCTGCAGCTGGGGTTTATGTGGTCTGTGGTCCCGACACAGGCCAGGTCTTCAGCTTTGCACAGCAGTTAGCACTTTGGCTACTGAGCCATTGCCCCATCTCTAGGTTTGGTTTTCAGAATGTCTACTAGGGGTATTTGGAATGTTCCTAACAAGAAAATGACAACTCTGAGGTGACAGATACAACACCCTGAGCGAACCACTCACTTTGTGTGCGTGTGATGAAATGTCACACTGTATTCTGCAAATACGACAACTGTTGTGTGTTGATTGGATGTGTGTATGTGTATGTGTGTTAGGGATCTCTAGAGTAACAAAACGTATAGAGTGAATACACATATGTGTATGTGTATATAGAAGGGATTTATTAGAATGACTTACAGACTCGGCCCAGCCAATTCAACAATGGTGGGCTGTGAACAGCAACTCCAAGGATCCAGTAGTTGCTCAGTCCACGAGGCTGGATGTCTCAGTTGGTCTTCAGTTTACACTGGAATCCTGAAGAAGCAAGCTCCAATGCCAGTGATCCTGCTAGCAAGGCAAGGGCCGTCAGGCAGAAAACAAAAGCTTTCTTCTTCCATGTGCTTACGTAGGCTTCCCACCAGAAGGCGTGGCCAGATTAGATCTGGATTAAATATATTTTTAAAGAGCATTAAGTGGCATGCCTTTTTCCAGCTCAGATGATCTAGAATAAAGGAGTGTCTTCCTCAAAGATCTGGATTAGAACTGGATCTTCCTACTTCAGATTAAGCAAAAATATATCACAAATGTGCCCTTCATTTCTGACTTTTAGTTCAAGTTGACAACCAAGTAGCCGTCACAAGTCCACCCATGGGGCTGGCGAGATGGTTCAGAGGTTAAGAGCACTGTCTGTACTCCCAGAGGTCCTGAGTTCAATTCCCAGCAACCACATGATGGCTCACAACCATCTATTACAAGATCTGGTGCCCTCTTACCGTGTGCAAGTGTGCAGAACATTGTGTACATAATAAAATAAATAAATCTTTAAAAAAAAAAAAAAAACAAGTCCACCCATTGACACACAGTCATATCTCCTGTGTCATGATTAATTTCCAAATGAAAACAATAACCTGGTCATAATAACACCAAAACATGATGTAACTCTCCCACATACAATTAGAAATATAACCTTTATGCCTAATATGATATAACTATCTCTTGTATGTCTGCAAACTCATTTTAAGTTTAAAATAGGTGGCAATGTCCTTTGAGGGACATTCTTTCAGTATCACAAACATAAATATGATAATCATTGATATTCTCTTAATTGATGTTATATCGCATGATAAATTGAGGAATGAAAACACAAATATCTATACAAATACATTCCTAAAAAATATGACAGGAACTTATGTCACTTATAATCCTCTTTTCTTCGACTGACATAAGGTCATATGGCCTTAGACGGTATTTATAGATGCCTTCTCTACTAAACCATTTTGTATTTTCTCCACCCCTGGAAGAGCCTCAACAGGTCTTGGCTCTTTGCCTGGAGGAGTCATCCATGCCTTCATTCTTGAAAGCTCTGTGCTCTTTGTCATCCTGCTGGATTAGGTTGTTATGGTTTCCCATTGATTTAAGTCACAGAACATGGTTTCACCCAAGAGACACCCTAAAGGATCTACTGCACTCCAGACATAATCTTTCTTATCTCCTTTGTGGAAAGGAAGTCCAATTCCCCTTTTTAATCTGGATCAATCTCCCCTCCTAATACTCTTATTCCTTTCTTAGCCTGTTGGCTTAAAGGCATCATAAGCCAAAAATGGCCTAAAACTTCTGAGCCAGCAGAGGTTAAAGTCTCAGGAACAGGAAGCAGAAATTTTTCTAGTGGGTCACTGAGGGGTGATGGTAACTGGAATTATTCTCATTTCCACCCTGATTCCTGGACCTTTAGCTCCTGACTATGGAAGAAACATACATTGGACGCTGATTCGACATAGTACTACCATCTGGGGAACCCAGCCCCAGCCCTTTAGGCTGCGGCCACCTATTGACACTGTAACTGTGTCTTCCTGATACCCACTGGTTAGGGTGAGACTGTTGCTGTGAGGGAACACCATGGCCAAAACAACTTATGGAGAAAGGGGTTTATTCAGCTTTATTCCACATCACAGTTCATCTCAAAGGATGTCAGGGAGGAACTCGGGCAGAGCAGCAACCTGGAGGAAGGAGCTGAGGCAGAGGCCATGGAGGGGTGCTGCTCACTGGCTTGCTCTCCATGGCTTGCTCAGAGCTATAAGCCCAAGGGTGGCCCCACCCGCAATAGGCTGGGCCCTCCCTTTTGAATCACTGGTTAAGATAACACCACACAGGCTTGCCTGCAGCCCAGCCTTATGAGGCATTTTCTGTATTGTGTCTCCCTCTACGATGACGCTAGATTTTGTCAAGCTGACATAAAACTTAAGCCTTAAACTCAGTGATCCACCTGCCTCAACTTTCTGAGTGGGAGGATTGTATTTATTTTAAAATTTAAGTATAATATATAAAGGGGGCTAAAAAAGGACTTCATGCATGTAATGATACAAGTTATGAAAGATGGTATGAAGCTAATGGTTTGCTGGGCATGTTGGGGCATGCCTTTAATCCCAGAGGCAGAGGCAAGCAGATCTCTGAGTTTGAGGCCAACCTGGTCTGCAGAGCTCCAGGACAGCCAGGGCTATTACACAGAGAAACCCTGTCTCAAACAAACAAACAAATAAATGAAGCTAATTGTTTTTCTAGTTTTAATTCTGCTGTGGATTTTTTGTTGGTGGTGGTGGGTAAGTGCATGAAATGCATTTGATACCGAAGAGGTAAAATTATTCTATCATTTTGAAAATGGCGTGGGGCCAGTGAGTTTGCTCTTGGTTTTGACAGGATGCAACTGGAAGCTTTGTCCTCCCTTTCCGGCAAGTCATGTATGCCCCGTACCCCACCACGCACATTGACGTGGACGTCAACACTGTCAAGCAGATGCCGCCCTGTCACGAGCACATTCACAATCAGCGCAGATACATGAGGTCAGAGCTGGCAGCCTTCTGGAGGGCAACTTCCGAAGACGACATGGCTCAGGACACCATCATCTACACGGATGAAAGCTTCACTCCCGATCTGTACGTGACACGGCCTTGGGTGTCAAATAATGTAAAATATCTGTCACTTAGGACTAAAAACGATGTGAGTTGTATTTAAAAGAAGAGAAATACGACAAGCATAATTATGCTTAAGGAAGCATTTAAGCAGCCACTTTTTTTTTTTTTAACACTTAAATTCTTATTATTATTTTTAGACAGTCTCACTGGTCAGCCCTATGTGACCTGGAACTCACTATATAATATTGATCAAGCTGCCCCAGACTCAGATCCACCTGCCTCTGCCTTCCAAGTGCTAGGATTAAAGACATGTGAAACCTTACCTTCCCTAAATCTTCATTTCTTAAGATATTATTTTCTCTAAGATCAGTTAAGAGTTCCTCTTAAAATAAATACTTAGCAAGTATATTCAGAACTAGTTACTTAGTGAAGTGCAAGGTTAATAATTATCAGTCAGAAAGTGCTGGCCCTACTGCTGGAAAGAAATTCAGTGTTAAATCATCATTGAACACTATTATACCCAAATTTTTTTGTATGAATATAAAATACAGAAAAAAAAATTGACTTTTTTCCTTTCCATTGTATATTTTGCTATTTTTTCTTACTGAAAAATGTGATTAGCAAAGTAAAAGGCAAAAATTAAGTGTTGATTAGGAGAAAAATTATAAATTTTAATTATAAAACCTCAAAAAAGCATTTAAATGGTGTTCTCACATCTGAAAATAATTGTGATAGAGTATTACTGTTCTCTTGAATCAATTAAGGGCTTGAAATTATGCTAGTCCTTAGAAACACTCAAAATATGTCATCTGTGGTCATCTGGGTTCAAGGGTTTTAGGCAGCAGTAAATTTGGAGCAAATGGGTGTGTCCTGTGTCTCTGGAGAAGAGAACGGCCAAAACAGGAGACATGGTGCTCCTCAGTAGCCACGGCAACTGCTGGCCAGAGGCTCAGATAAGACCACAGTGCCCGGAGGCCCCAGCATGTAACTGCAGAATGAGAAGAAGCCAGCTCGCACAGCTCTCTGTGCTCATTACTGCTTAGAAACGTTGAGAGGAATTGCTTCAGAGAAGGAATTGGTCAAGTTGAAATCTTACGTCGCTAGTTCACAATTGTGGAAATTGTGAACAATTTGTGGCAATTGTGGAAAACGTGGAGACGTTTTCTCATGGAGTCCATATGCTAGCATCTTCCTCACTATGAATGTACTTGAGTTCATGTCTTTCTTTTTTAGTTGATTGCTTAGAATCTCTTCTTAGGGAATGTAGTAAGCTTGAATGGATCTGAACCCTGTTAGTGTCTTTGTTTTTGATTATGTTTGGCTGATTTAACAAAAGCAATTGATCAACTACTCTGGCATAACAAAAATAATGTCATGAATTTTAGAATTTTATTTTCAGTTATAAGTAAGTCTTTTGAATATGAAATTGTCAAAATATTTTCAACCATAAAACTATATCTTAATTTCTATTGTTGTGGACTCATGATAGTATTGGCATATTTTAAATAATCACTTTTAAGTCCCAGGTGGGGGGAGGGAGTTGAATCAGGGATTCACACACACCAGGCAGTTGCTGTACCACGGAGACACATCCCCAGTTAAGCTATTTTTAATTTTAACCTTTTCAAGGTAAAAGCAGTCACTGGTAATACATGAAACTATGAGTTGTCCTTGGAGATCATCTCTGCTTTTGCATTGTTTTTGTGATCCAGATTCTCATTCGGTAAAACAGATATGGGAAATTGGACTTAACAAATCCTAACATGTCCACAGATTCCAGTGAATGTGCTGTCAGTGCCCAACCAGTAGTTCTGAGATGCTGCTCCTCCCTCTGCTTGTTTCCTTCTCTGCTTGCTACATCCAAGAAACCCATGCTGCTTCCCTGCGTGCGTCTTCCCTGCCGTCCCGAGCCAGTTGTGATCTCTACTGTCTCAGTCTTGCTTTGCTTTGCTTTTCTTGTAATAAACGTTATATTTTTCTTCTGACGTGAATACAATAGATGAGGGAAGCCGGACGAAAAACACTGAAAGGGAATGGGCTCTGAGGAAAAAAACAATCTTGTCCGTTAGATTCTGCTCTGACCTGTGTGTTGATGCAAGTCGCCTCAACTAGTCATTTTGTCTGGACTTTACACACCAGCCATCGCTGAGGTACCAATAACTTACTGGGTTGCTGGTTCGTATTTACAGATTGCAAGTCACTTGACATGAGCCCAACTTGTAAGGTGAGCATTCTAAGACATTGATAGAGATAGATAGATAGATAGATAGATAGATAGATAGATAGATAGATAGATAGACAGACAGACAGACAGACAGACAGACAGACAGACAGACAGACAGACAGACTGTCATGGATATATTCAACTTACGCTGCCTAGAAAAGTACAGCAATAATGTACAAATGTACCCTTAAGTTAAAATGGGTCTCTGTTCCCCCTCCCCCGCTCTGTGTATGTATGTGTGTGTTTTGTGTGCACTGAATATTGAACCCAGGGCCTCATACAAGCTAAGTGGGCATTCCAAATACACACAGCTGTATTCTTACATATCTGTTTATAAAACTTTGACTTTTTGACTGGGGTGAGAGGTTGTGGAAATTTACTCTGTAAAACCATTTAATATTTGAACTGTTTTCTTCTTAGGAATATTTTCCAAGATGTCTTACACAGAGATACTCTAGTGAAAGCCTTCCTGGACCAGGTAAACATGATACCAGCCATTGCCAGAGAAAATGACATCTCATGTTTTCTTATAAAATATACCCCATATAGAATACATACAAAGCACCAAAGAATTACAGTGTTTATGGGCCTCTCTAAAGTCAGTAGATGAATTTCTCTTTGGATTATTAGTGGGGAAAGCCCTTATACTAACAGTTAAAAGCCCCATTTCCCATGCTAGTGGTCGCTTCAGGTACTTCCCTGTACCATAAGGATTTTTTTTTCTTGGTTGAAGAAGAGGGGTATGCTTTTATTTGCCTTAATCAAATTGAAAATGTTGTTAAAACTTAGTATACTTGTGTTTAAATTGTATAAAATATCTGCTGAGTTGCACATTTGGAGAAGGTGATAGATTGAATGGGAATTGTTTCTAAACATACCAGGGTGTCTATAGAATACATAATGCTATCTTGGTAATCAGGCCAGGATTCTGTGCCCGAGACAGACCTTGAGACAATGAACTCCTCGTGTTAAGTGGAACTTCCAGATTGGGTCTGTTTTAGAAGATAGTCCTGCAATCCGCTGAAACAAAATTCCCATCATCCCCCACTCCACACAGCCTGAAGCAAGTCCCAGGATGATTCTTCACAATAAAATAAGGACATTTTGATATAGAATGCAAAATCTAAGTGCATTTTTACTGATGAAATAGTAAATCTCAAAAGCTGTCAGAGTGCTGCCAGACTCTTGCCACTACGACAGTCCTGCCTTTGGGAGTTGGAAGACGTGTCTGTAGTGGATGATGTGTATGTATCACATCCTGTCAAGATTGTCATGGAAGCTGCTATATAAAAATGTATCAGAACTGTATTGTCTCATGTTCCTGCAGGTCTTCCATCTGAAGCCTGGCCTGTCTCTCAGAAGTGCTTTCCTTGCACAGTTTCTTCTCCTTCTTCACAGAAAAGCCTTGACACTAATCAAATACATAGAAGATGATACGTGAGTCCAGCTTCTCTGTGGGAAAACCTTTATGTATTTGAAGTTTCTGTTTTGCTCCCTTTGAACACTGTCTGTATTATAATGTTTGCTTTTTTTGTTTGTTTGTTGTTGTTGTTTTCATTTTAGGCAAAAGGGGAAAAAGCCCTTCAAGTCTCTTCGGAACCTGAAGATAGATCTTGATTTAACAGCAGAGGGCGATCTTAACATAATAATGGCTCTGGCTGAGAAAATTAAGCCAGGCCTACACTCTTTCATCTTTGGGAGACCTTTCTACACTAGTGTCCAAGAACGTGATGTTCTAATGACTTTTTAAGTGTGTGGTTTGCTGTGTGTGTCTCACGGCATCAGACGTACTGTTACAGTGACACAGGGAAACACCCTCCCGGGCCTGCTTTGGGACTTAGTTACACTACACCTGTCACTGGTGGTCGGGACGTGGAGTCAGGTGCATGGCTGCAGTGAATGTCTCTTTTCCTAGAGTAGATGTACTGTCCTAGGGAACTTATGTTTACAGTTATCCTAAGTACTATTGCTGTCTCTACAGATGGGAATGCTGGGATACGGACTTGACCATAACTGCTGGGGTTTTTGTTTTTCTTTTGAAACTTAGGATTCATGGTTTACATGTACCACAGTGAAGCCCTAGTTAGCTCTTACAGATTGAGTGTGAGTTGACTTTCTGCCCCTCGGTGGTCCATGGTGTGTAGGAGTGCATACTTCTACAACAGCTGGAAATTGGAGCATCTCAGGTTTTCAGTTCCACAGACAGGAACTTGCCTGGCCTTCAGGATGAAGCAGAGTTTAGGTGGAATAGGTGTTAGATCTTCCTTTGTGGACTTAGTCTTTCTGATGCAGTCTGTATAGAGATGCCGAGCTGTGTGCTCACCAAATTTTGTGAACCGTGCTGTGCTTTTTGTTGCTTTATTGTAGTTCTGTCAAAGAAAGTGGCATTTGTTTCTGTTATTGTTGCCAGCTCTAAAGGTTAATTTTCATTATTTTTGAGCCAAATTAAAATGTGCACCTCCTGTGCCTTTCCCAATCTTGGAAAATATCATTTCTTGGTGGAGGGTCAGATTTCAGCACTCAGTCATTGCCATCTGACTTACGTTTTGGAGGTCCTTGTAAAATATGTCAGAGAGTACATGTGCTGATAAGATCCTCTTTCAAGATCAGGAAAGCATCTTGCCTCTTTCTTTACTTTTCTGCCGGTATTCTTTGGTGTTTTCCATGCTGCCTGCATCGCAGGAGCTGCAGGACAAGTCTGACCCCAGTGCTATCTTTCTAGGTGCTATTACAGCAAACTCAGTGCTTTGTTTTTGTTTCTGTAATGTTTGACCATCTTGCTGGCTGTGAGTACTGATTAGCAGAGTTCTGTGCATTAGCATTGTTGACGTAGGAGTATACACAAACACAAATGTGTTTTTATTTAAAACTGTGGACTTAACGTAAAAGGGAGAATATATATTTATTTTTGACAAAAGGGATAAAAATGGAGCCCTTTCCTCACCCAACAAATTTAGGAAGAAAAAACTGTTCTATTCTAAAAGGTTATGGTGGCTTTGACATTACAAATCAGAAAAGTGTAGACATTTTAAATACACACTGACCAGGATGGCTTATGAACTCCAAGTCACTCAGTGTGGCAAAAAGTGTAGATTCCACCTGTTAGAGCCCCACACTCACTGCTGTACACAGTAGAGTCTTATTTAAGTGCTAATTGTTTTCTTTTGCTGGTTTACTGTGTCGTTATAGAGAATGTAAGTTGTACAGTGAAATAAGTTATTGAAGCATGTGTAAACACTGTTATATATCTTTTCTCCTAGATGGGGAATTTTGAATAAAATAGCTTTGAAATTCTGTGTGTTCTAGTTCTTCATTCAGGAAAAATCATGCTGTGAAAGGGAGCATGGTTAGCTTCCTGTTCCACTGACAATTGTGTTGAGTCTAAACCATTGTTTTTAATCTTCTCTTTTCAAGGAAGATATTTAAAGATTATGAATGATGTTAGAATCCTACATTTTAAAAATAATAATAAAACTTCCGAGTGTGATAGTGCATGCTTGTAATTCCAGTACTTGGAAGGTAGGGGCAGGAGGATGAGAAGTTCAAGGCCAGCCCCAGATACACAGTGAGCTCAATACCAGCCTGAGCCACATGATGCTACATGACCTTGTCTAAAAAAATAAAGCTTTTTCTTGACTTTCCAGTGTGCCGTGATTTCCCCAGTCATACATTAATATTTCACATAGAAAATAATTCTTGAATTCTCCTTTGAAAATTTTCCTACTGAGGCCAGACCTGAGTTAAGTCACAGCCCTGCATGGTGAAGTGAAGCAACCCCTACGGTTTGTCCTCTTACCTCCACCCATGGACCACAGCATGTGTGTGCTCAAACACACGTGCGCACACACACATCTTTAACATGCCTAGTACAGCAATATCAGTGTCATCTCAGCTGATTTATTCTTTCCAAGTCATGGGTATAGGTATCCAGCTTAAAATACAAAGGCTGAATAAAGCGCTTTCAGGTGCTTGCATTTGGAAAGCAAGAAATGAGATTGGCATTTTCACTGCAAGAGAACGCCTAGGTAGAGCAGTTGGCCTGGGAGATTTGCTGCAGCATTGATATTCTTGAGGAAGAGGGGTGGGGATGCAGCTCAGGGCCGGGGCGCTCACAACAGGCCCTGGCCTCGACTGCCAGCGCTGTGGAGAAGTGTAGGATCTTTGTTGTGGAATTGCACTCCTTGATTTTGCTCCCAGTTTGCTCAGTGTGGATGACTTGATAATGTGGCCTCCGTTAACGCCACTTCCCACAGGACTCTCTCAGTCTACCGTCACCAAAGCTGTCACTGCAGATGTGAGGGAGCTCGGGCTGGATGCACAGCCAATAACTGCCCGCACTGGATTTCCTCCCCGCTGCTAAAGTCTCCTAAGCACGCAGCACTTAGCAAAGCTCCTCCTTGTAGTGGGTCCTAGCACTGGTGAGTTGAAGGCCACTGATAGAATCTGTTCTCCAGCTTTTCTGAGGATCTTTTTATTATAATGTAGGCTTTTAAATCTCTGTTAACACGCAGTAATTTTGTATGCAGATTCGGTAGTATTTCTGTACACACACGGAGCAAGCTCTGATCAAAACCAGCCGTTTACCCACCCTCCCACTCTTTTCAGCTTCTCTTCTACCTTCAGGAAGTCTCTACATCCACAGGTGAGAGAAAACACTCCAAGGCCTTGTTTTTCTGTATCCGTATCAGTATCATCACCTAACATGAAAATCTCCAGTTACATTTCCATCCATTTCACTGCAAGTAACAAGATGTCATTCTATGGCCAAATAACACAGTTTTCTCTATAGATCATGTTTTCCTTATCTGTTGGGTAGCATCAAGACTGATATCTAGGGTAATAGCTGCACAAACTTCTTAGCCTGTGAATAGTGCCACACCAGCTATGGCAGGCAGTTATCTCTTTGGCACAATTTCCCTTCCTTTGGTTGTATGTCCAGAAATAGAATCGATGGATCATCTGGCAGATCCATTTCTAGATTTGTGTGTGCGTTCACATGTGTAGGTACATACACAAATGGCACATTTGTGTTAAGACCGGGTTGACAGTGAATGTCTTCCTTAGTGCCTGTCCACTTTATTTACTGAGCCTGGCTCTTTTGCTGAACCTGGAGCTTGCAAACTCAGAGAGTCTAGACGGCTTATTCCAGGAGTCCTCCATCTTGAGCTTCCAAGCACTGTGACCATGCGGCGCCTGCACAGCGTTTCTTACGTGGTGCTGAGAATCTGAACGGCAGTCCTGCTTGCAGAGCAAGCACTTAACCCAGGCCATCTCCCCAGGCCCCACATGTAGTGTTTTAAGGACCCTCAATAAACTCTTCTGCTAATAGCCCTACTGACTTACTTTCTTAGTCAGCGTTCCAGCACTGTAATCAAACACCTGAGAAATGTCAGCTCACACAAGGAAATACATATGCGGGTCCATGATCATCCAGTCGGTTGCTTCTGAGCCTGTGGTAAGACACAACATCATATTTGGGAGTGTACAGAGGAACAAAGCTCTGCTGCCAGTAGAAAAACGAACTGCGTGAGGTAAGAAGGAAATGGAGGTAAGATGAGCCTGACACCAACCCAGTTTATTTCAGACATACTTAAGTACAGTACAATTTTGGAAAAACAGTTTTCTGGTAACAATTATTGCAATCCCATGTCCACAATAAAGCTTAAGTCACGACTACATCAAAAGTCTCCTGCAAAGTGCATGAGCCCTCTACTGTAAAGGTGAGTGCTATTGCTTAAGTGCGTAGGATCTGGTGTGGTGTCTAATGGAGGTCCACAGGTTATAATAGACCTGTGATATCTCCCTAAGAATGGGTTCCATTGATGGAGAAACAAGCTAAAGATAAAGGTCTGGGGGGGGGGGGGGTCTGGGATAAACATTCTGGGGAAGTCCGGGCCCTACCACTAGCTAAGGTCACCAGGTTATTAACATCCATGCCCAGCCTTCTGGGTGGGAAACAGCTATACATTTCTTCCATTGGGGAGACAACCCTTTGTGATTAACATTCCTGGCTTCTCCAGTTGCTTATCTGTGAGCACTCGAGCCATATACAGTTCATCTCCTGGCAGCCAGGATGCAGAGAGGAAGTGGAAGAGGCCAACACAAAATAGACCTTCAGCAACACGCTCTCCAACGACCTGCCTCCTCCAGCTAGGTCTCACTTCCTAAACCTTCCACACCTGTCCCGGCTGGCTTTTTATCAACTTGACATGAGCTACAGTTGTCTGGGGAAAAGGGACCACAGTTGAGAAAATAGCTCCATCAGATGGCCTGTAGGCACATCTGTGGGGCATTTTCATGATTAATGATTGGTGTGGGAGGGCCCAGCCCGCTGAGGGTGGTGCCACCCTTGGCAGATGATGCTGCAGTGTAAGAAAACAGGCTGAGAAAGCCAAGAGGAGCAAGCCATAAGCGGTGTTCTCTGGTGGCTTCTGCCTTACTTCCTGCCATACTTCCTGCACTGGCTTCCCCAGAGGGACTAAGATCTGGATATATCAGCCAGGTAAACCCTTTCCTCTCTAAGTTGCTTTTGGTCAAGGTGTTTTATCATAGCAAGAAAAACCTAACTAAGACAAAAAATGGGGACCCAGTTCATGGGATATTGCTGTGACAAACCCGACCATATTGTTTGGGGGAGTACTGTGGAGCTTTGGGTTGGAAAAGCCATTAAGTGTTGAATTTAATGAGCTGTTATGGAATCTTAGAAGAGAATGTTGAGAGCAATGAATACAGCATAGGGGTGGCTTATGAAGTTTCAGAGGGAAGCGCAAACTCTACAAGGTCCATTCCAGTGATATTTTGAATGAAAAATCTGTGGGTCTAGTAAGCTGGATTTGAAGAATCAGCCTTGAATGTGGCATTTTTATCACAGCGATAAAAATGTAACTAATTTTAATTAACATAACCCACATACATCACATACATGTACCCAAGTAGACCTTATTCTGAGCCATAGAACAAGTCTCAATACATGTAAAAGGGTTCAATCCATAGAAATTATGATATCTGATGTCTTACGGTTTTATTGCTGTGGAGAGACACCATGACCAACTCCTATAAAGGAAAACATTTAACTGGGGCTGGCTTACAGTTTCAGGGGCTCAGTCCATTATCACTGTGGCAGGAAGCACGGCAGCATGGAGGCAGACATGGTGCTGGAGAGGAGCTGAGAGTTCTACATCTGGATCCGAAGGCAGCAGAGAGAGACTGTGTCCATACTGGGCGTAGCCTGAGGATGTGTGAGACCTCAAAGCCCGCCTCCACAATGACACACTTCCTCCACCAAGGCCACACCTCCTTATAGTGACCGAGCATTCAAACACATGAGTTTATAGGCACCATTCCATTCAAACTGCCACATCTGATGACAGAGAAATTCAAGTATAAACCAATTGAATTTCTCAAAAGCCTGGAAATAAGATAGCACTTTTAGAAGGTAAGACATGGGGCTGCAGAGGTGGCTCAGAGTGAAGAGCTCTTGCTCTTTTGCAAAGGACTGCAGTCTGGCTCTCAGCATCCACACAACAGCTCACAATAGCCAGTGTCCTCTTATGGCTTCTGTGGACACCTATGTGCATGTACACACACACACACACACACACACACATACACACACACACATGAGCAAAAAAAAATATCTTGAAAAAATGAAAGAATTTATAAGTTGTTCTTGTCTTAAAGCAAGGAGAGATAGACTGGAGAAAAGACAGGGAGACATCAGAACATTCTGGAATGATTTTTACTAAGCATGGAGCTCAGTATGCCTGCGATGCTTCCCCACCCTCCAGCTCATTCTTTATTGATAATAGCTGGCTCCTTTCAGTATTGTCTGATTGCCTGTTCTGACAATGGCTCTCCATCACTTACAGACTATCCCGAATCTTAGCAACACAGTATGGGTTCACCCCTCTAGCCTTGCTTCCCCAGGTCCCTAGCAGACATTTCTTTTATCACTTTATTACGTGATTCCTTTACTTGTACATCTCCCCAGATATGCTAGGCAACAAGATCTATGCTTTGTGTTTCTGTAGTCTAGTGCCTTGCATGGGTCTAGGCATACGGTACACTTCCAATGAAAAAGTTGAATGAACATAGTAATTGTAATCAACATTTTCTTTTTCTTCTCCAAAAAGAAAACTCTCCTTCAAATTGAGGAAATTCTTTCTTTATGTAATCAGAGACTTCCCCAACCCCAGAAAATCCTCTGCTGAATTTGAGACTACACAAAACCGACCTCTCAAATTTCAAAGATCTTGGGGAGTGATTTTAATCCTTTTGAAATAGTAATCCCCTATC